ACGAGAGCATTTGGCCGAAGAAATTTCCAAGAAGCAAAGCATTAAGAAAGCTGCATGGTTACTTCTAACAGTCTATGCTGAGTTATGGTGGCAAAGGCATGACATAAAGCCAGAATTTAAAAGGGAAGCAGAGTGTAAAGATTTGGAAATTTTGCAGCCTGGCCCTGAGGTAGAGAAGTGGAGAGCAGGAGAAAAGCACAAGGGTGAAGCAGATAAACTGGTTGCTAAAGAAATTATCTTGGCAGTGAGGCAGCCAGATGCTAAGAACCAGGGCAATGGAAAAAAATGCCCTAAAGGCATTTCAGAAGTCTGGAAGGGTACCCCACCCATCACAGACCCTGAGGTCTAGAAAGACTGAGTTATCCTGGAGGACAGACCTGGGGCGCAGCTGCCCTTGGGATCCTGCTCCCTGCATTCCAGCTGCTCCAGCTGGAGTGGCCTCAAGTGTGGTTTGTGTAGCAGCCCTGGAGAGTAGAGGCCCAAAACCTCAGTGGCATCCATGTTGTGTTAAGTCTGCAGGCCAGCAAGACATGAGAGCAGTGGAGGTGTGGCAGCCTCCACCCAGATTTCAGAGGAGTATGGAAAAGCCAGGGGGCCCAGGCAGAGACCTGCCACAGGGGGGGAGCCACTGCAGTAGATCTACAGCAATGCCAAGTAAGAATATGGGGTTAGAGCCCCCACAGGGAGCCCCCACCAGGGAAATATCAAGTAGAGCCAAGGCAGCGGGGCTGCCACCAGGACCCCAGAACCGCAGGGCCACTGGCAACATGCAACACAGGCCTAGAAAAGCTGCAGGCAACAGTGCAGCTCACTGGGCTGTGCCTGGCAGAGCTGTAGAAGTGAGGCTCTCTGAAACTTTGGGGGCCTAGATGCTCAACTGTGTCCAGGATGCAGGACTTGTAGTCAAACATTATTTTGGAGCTTTAAGACATAATGTCTGCACTGCTGGGTTTTGGACTTGTTTAGGGCCTGTTTTTCCTTTCTTCTGGCCTATTCCTACCTTTTGGAATGGGAACATGTACCCAATGTCTGTTCCACCATTGTTTCTTGGCACTAGGTAAATTTGGTTTTGACTTTTACAGGTTCACAGCTGGAAGGACTTTTGCTTTTGGTCTCAGATGAGACTTTGGACTTTTAAGTTGGTGCTGGAGCAAGCGAAGACTTTTGGGACTGTTGGGATAGAATGATTGTATTTTGTATGTGAGAGCAACATGCGCTTTGGGGAGCCAAGGGCAGAATGATGGAGTTTGGATGTGTTGTCCCCTCCAAAACTCATGTGGAAATTTGATCTCCAATGTGGCAGTGTTGGAAATTCATTGAGTCATGGGGGCGGATCCTTCATGAATGAATTAATGCTCTCTCTTGGGGAGGAGGGTTAGTGAGTTTTCGCTCTATTAGTTCCCATGAGAGCTGACCGTTTAATGGATCCTGGCACCTCCTCTCTTTCTCTCTTGCTTCCTCTCACCTTGTGATCTGCTTGTACCTGCCAGCTGCCTGCTGTTTTTCCGCCATGAGTAGAAGCAGCCTGAGGCCCATGCAGATGCAGCTGTCCCAGAATCGTAAGGCAAATAAACCTCTTTTCCTTGTAAATTACCCAGTCTCAGGTAGTTCTGTTACAGCAACAAAAAACTGACTAATACAAGAGAATTCTTGTTAGACCTACTCAACAGAATTCTTGCTGCAGGCAGGCCAGGGTGATAAGATATCAAGAGTTAGGGATAAGGAATTTGATCAGATATCAAAGATGATCCAATACTAAGAGTGGAGAGGGATTTTTACTAAACTGACTAGCAGGATTCTTGCTAAAACTGGATCCTACAAGGACAGAGAGGGAAGCTCAAGTTCAGGCCTCATCAAGCAGAGGGCTCAGAGGAGGCTGATTAAAGTTAAGGAGAGATTAAAGTCAGTATAGTTTTCTATATGTCGGTTATACTAAAAAACATACACAAATCTCTGGACAACCTTCTGGAGATCACGTCAGACAAATCCCCTGTGCCCCAGTCACACCATCATACATCCAGAGTCCATAAACACAGCACCACCATCTCCCAATCAGAGATGGTTTACAGAGGGTCTCACCAGTCTTCCACCCCCACGTACTTCTTACAAGATCACCACCTTCAAATGGGTGGGGGAGTTTTTTTATTTCTCCAAATGCTTTTCCAGGGCCATTCTCTTCCCTTCTCCCCTTCCCCTACCTCTTTACTCACCTCCTCTCTCCCCTCTCTCTCTCTCTCAGGACTACCCACCCTCCTCTGTGACATAGCTAACATGGGCCCAGTCCTGGTAGGTCACATCTTCATTTCAAAAGGAATAAGTGCACAGATATGTAAAATCAACTGTTACAATAAAAATTAAAATTAAAAAAAAATTTTTTTTAAGTAGTGTGTGCCTTGAAGACCACAGCTAAGACACCAGACATGAAAGGCACACCTGAGAGGCAGGTCTGCCTAAAGCCCCTTCCCAGCTGAAACCTGAGGGTCAGGACCTCAGAATCCTACCACCATGGAGACACGAGGTCATAGTCATAGAATCTTGACAGCACCAACACCAGGGACCTCACTCATTCCTGTCCTGTAACTTGTCATTAAATCTTCCCTATCTGATTTGCTGTACTTTATCCCTCGGGGATTCTTTGTCTGGACACTGTGGCATGACTGCATGCATAAAAAAAGCACAGCAGTATCCTTTTAAATCCCTGAAATTTCAGCTAAAACCCAACCAAAATTCTGGACTAACCAGAGTAGTACATGGTGAAAAAAATCTGGGAACAAGATAGTAGAATGAGACCAGGGTTGCTAAGGATGAGACTGCACTGAGTTTTCACAAAAACAAGAAGCAGGTCTAAGGCCAAGGATATTTCTAAACACTGCTGCCTTGTATTTTTGCTTCCTTGGAGGTTTCTTCTCTTCCTTTCCGTCTTCTCTTTCTTTCCTCTCCCTCCTCTCCAATCCTTACACCTCTCTCTGGCTTGCATATCTAGAGAGTGATCAGGCCATTTACAGAGAAGGGGTACATATGGAGAGGAATGAATCGATGGAGTGGGCAAATTCATCTTCCTTCCTTCAGTCACCTGGTGAGACACCACATACCAAGCACTGAAAGGCTCTGGGTTAAGCGTGATACATTCCCAAGGATGCTCTGTCTTGAGATGGCAGCTCAGAACTCAACTCCAGCAAACTTTAAAGGTCATTATTTCTTACCTGCTCTTCTGAGAATCCAATGAAAGAATGATATTCACAGAAAGAAAAACACATATACGCATGGACCAGTCAATCTTCACAAAAAGTTTGCCCACATATCCAAGGATGACAGGACAGGCTGCAGTGAAAGCCGAGGGGGACAAGGCCATCCTCATTCCTCTTTGGAGCTCATTTGATGGTTCTTCCTGTCAAAGGACACCCACACATAAAAGCCCAGGATGCCTGACTTGGTTTCTAACTAATACAACTCACAGACTTAATTAGCTCAGAGTGGCCTTCACTCTGACTCTCCCTCTGTAGACACCAGGGAATGGAAAATGGGGCAAGCCCAATTCCAAGGAGATCCATTCACAGGACTTTGAGGCTGTGTCAACCAGCCTGACTGGCTTTCAATTGGCTGGCATTGCACTGCCTCAAAAGGGATGTTCCAGCATCATCTCAGACTTATCTGCAGCCACTTGTTTCCCATTCTCTGAGACCCACCCTCTCCTCCATAATGACACCTCCTTATAATCCAAGCCCCAAAGCAAGAAATGATTCTCATGGCCTAGGTTGTGAGATGCTCTGATTCCAAAGAAATTTCTGCCTAGATGGCCCCCCATCCATGCTTACAGCTGCTCTGTATCCCTGATCTAGCCCCTACTGGTAAAGAAGCTCCAAAGAAAACCCAAATTCACCTTCCTTTGGCTTTTTTATTCATTATGAAATTATTGTACCAACAATGTATGATTTGTAATAGAGAAAAAAACTATACACAATCCCAGTCCCCTAAGAAAATCACTTGTTTATTTCTCCATCCTCCACTTCCAATCTACACACACATGTGCACATATCTTTACATGGCTGTAATGACAGTAAATCTATTTTATGCCTTCTTTTTGCCATATTGTAAGCATTTTCAACAAGGCAAAAAAACCTTTATAACTGTGGTTCAGAGCAGCTGAAAGGAACAAATTAGAAGTGTCCTAAATGAACAACAATGGTGTGGGGTTGGGGGGAAAGATGATAACATAAACATAACAACTCAATATTTTTTTATTTCAAGAACTAAAGCAACAAATCACATTTCTTGGAAGCAGCCCTTTCCATCTTATCATAAGCCTGTTTTAGTCTTAAGAGGGATGACTTCACTGTTCATTCACAAGCGACTTCTTCATTCAGTTTCCTCTTCTGAAACAAATCCTCAACGTTCTGGCAGGACTATAACACAGAAATACATTCAAACAGCAAAATCTAACAATAATTCTGTGGTTGCTGTGGAGTTGAGCATTGTGTGGGATCTCTCACCAGTACGTCTTTACTGACACAGAAGACAATAAGAGCTCCTGCCAAAAGCTTCTCTTCCTGATTATACTTACAAAATTTCGTTCTAGCAAGAGTTTGCTTATGTACAATAAGGTGAATACTCCCTATTAAAGGATTCCTCATACCAGTTACTTACCGAATACATTCATGTGTCCTTTCTAGTTTAAGCATTCTAATGCAGAAGTGTGTGGATATCTCCAGGAAAGTATCTTCCTCACATTTTCATGCTTCATTCCAGTGTATGTGCTAACATATTTGGTATAGGCTGAATCATCCCTAAAGCCTTTTCCTACTTATTACCATCCTATGTTCTCTCCAGTTCCCTAATGAACAGATTTAACAAAATGGCTAAGGAATGTCGAATAGTCATCAATTCACTGGATAGCTTAAAGAATTCTTTTCTACCAACCAGGGAGGAGTCACATCTGAAGGCACACCTCCTTCATGTAGGTTTTTGAGAACAAGTTAGGAGAAGAGTGTGGCCTATGTTTATTATATTTCCATGGTTTGCTCTCCAGAGTGTGTTCTTTGATGTCGGACAAGGGATGAGCTCCTTCTGAATGTTTTTCCACAATGAGGACACTGTGTGGGACCCTCTCTGCTATGGAGTCTCTGATGTACTGCTAGGTGAGAGTTCTGCTTAAAAGACTTCCCACATTCTGGACACTGGTACGGGGTCTCCTTAGTGTGAATTCTCTGGTGCTTGGTCAGACAAGAGCTGTCCCTGAAAGCTTTGCCACACTGATTACACTCATAGGGCTTCTCACCAGTATGAGTCCTCTGGTGGCGGATGAGGCCAGCAATATTCCTGAAAAGTTTCTGACATTGGTCACAGCCATAGGGCTTCTCACCAGTATGAATCCTCTGATGCCTGATGAGGTACGCACTCTCAATGAAAGTTTTCCCACACTCTTTACATTCATAGGGTTTCTCCCCAGAATGGATTTTTTGATGCACAATAAGGTGAGAATTGCGGTTGAAGGATTTCCCACACACTGCACATTCAAAGGGCTTCTCTCCAGTGTGAGTCCTCTCATGCTGGGTGAGGTACGAGCCGTCTCGGAAAGCCTTTCCACATTTGCTACACTCATAGGGCTTCTCACCAGTATGGATTCTGAGATGCACAGTGAGGTGAGAGATGTCAGTGAAGGGTTTCCCACACTCATTACATCTATACGGTTTTTCCCCTGTATGAGTTCTTTGATGCAAAATCAGGGATGAATTTCGGTTGAAGGTTTTTCCACATTCTAGACATTCATAAGGTTTTTCACCTGTGTGAATTCTCTGGTGTTGTGTAAGAGCTGACCCATCACTGAAAGCTTTCCCACATTTACTGCACTTATAGGGCTTCTCTCCTGTATGGATCCTTTGATGCACAATCAGGTTGTAGTTTTTAGAGAAGGATTTTCCACACTCATTACAGGTATAAGGTTTCTCTCCAGTGTGAGTTCGGTGATGTAAAATAAGAGAAGAGTTCCGTTTGAAGCATTTGTCACATTCAGTACATTTATATTGTTTCTCTCCAAGGTAACTCCTCCCGTTTTCATTAAGAGAAGAGCTCAGGGTAAAGATGTCCCGAAAGTCCTTACCTTCATACAGTTTCTTGCCTCTTTTCATTATTTTTTGATCACCAAGGGGAATAAAATGGCTGAAAGATTTAACACTTTCTGGGTATTTACAGGGTTTCTCTCTCATTTGATTTCTTCCAAGTTGAATAACTTCCATGGAATGGTTGAAGGTTTTTCCACAGGCATCACTGTCACCAGTTCTCTTAGCTGCACAGCTTTTGGGACAACTGTGTAAGGCTGGATCACAAACCAAACTTTCAACATCTGAATCATGCATATGGAAACCATTTGTTGTAGGAACTCTCTGAGATGGTGGAAGGTCTGAGCTTGTATTCAAATGCCCCTTGATATCAGGATACTCACGAATTGCTTCCTGAGCCTGTGGTTTCTCCTGAGTTAAAGCTGATTGCCTCAAATGTCCCTCCCGGTTCTCATAGTCCCAACTGTCACCTAGAATGGAGAAACAGGCACCCTCCCTTATGAATCCTTCCATTTCTATGTCACAGGATAATTCTTCCTCAGGAATATTCTGAGCTGTTATTTTCAGTCTGATATCCCAGGCTGAAAAGAAAAGAAAAGGCAAGCTTAGGTGCACAAGGTACATTCGGAAGAGGAAATGAAAATGATGATCGACTAGGTGTGTCTACTTTTACTTGTTTTCTTTTTAAGATTCACATTTGTACAAGGGAGAGGTAAAATGACAACCAAGAGATAGAGCCAATGGTAATTTGGTAGCAGCTGTTTAAACATAAAATAGGCATATTCCACTTATAGGTAGTATCTCGGATTCAGAAAGAATAAGTTCATAAAGAGTCACATAGTATTGTCATCCTCCTAGATAGCAGGCAGGAGAAGCAGTATTGGAGAATAAAAATCACCAAAAGGATTAGCTTGAGATATGGAGACCAGAAGTCAGGTGTTACTGCTCACACTGGAATACCATCTTAGCTATTGCATTCTTGTCCCCATCACCCACTGCCTATACGAACAATCAATGCACATTTCCAAAGCCTTGACTTCACAGTGTGCTTACAACAGCACTGAATGAACAGTTCTCACCCTAGCTCTGTGGTTAGAGTTCTCTCTTCATGGATGAGACATGGCACAGGCTCAGTGACCCAAAAGCTCTGGGGCTAAGTCCTAGATCTGTCAATGACCACCCTGCAGAGTTGTTATGAAAATTGGATCATGTCTGAGGCAGGCTCGAAGGCAAGGGAATGAACAGCATTCTATAAATGGCTGCTAGTGTTGTCATCATTATCAATCTCACCACCCTCTCCCACTTCTTTGACTTCATAATATTAAGACAACTGGTTCTCCATATTTTTTAAAGTAAAATGAAATTAGACCCTTACTTCAGAATATATATATATTTAAAATTTCAAACAGATAAAGGCCCTCAACATAAAATCAAAGTTTGAATTATGGAAGGCAGCTATGTAAACCACTATACCACCAACGCTCTGTAAAATTTGAATTATGTAGGATGCCTCATGAGTACAGCAGACCTCTATCAACAAAGATAAACAAGCAAAAACCATACAGACAAAGGTTAACAAATTTGGTATCAACATTTAAAATTTCCATACAATAAAAGACACCATAAAAAACAAAATACCAGTGGCAGATGAAGACAAAATATTATAAACATAAAAGAGACAAAGTATTAGTGCCCAAGATCTATAAAGAATTCTTACAGAACAGCACAAAAACGAAAAGAATGGGCAAAAGATACAAAAAAGCACTTATGAAGAGAAAATAGAAATGTTCTGGAAACATGAATATCTGCTCATTCCCTCAATCATTCAGGCAATTACAAACTGCAACTTCAAGAACACAAAATCTGCACATTTTATTTGAGTTTTAAAAATAAAATGAAGTGTGATAATATAAAGCTTAGGCAGGTCACATGGGGAAAAGAGATGACAAGCATATAAAGTGGTCAGTCTGCTTCTCAGGGTAATTTGGTAGCAGCTGATTAAACATAAAATAGGCACATTCCACTTGTAGGTATCTCAGATTCAGGGAGCATGAGTCCCAGGCAGGATAAATGAACATCAATCTATAACTACGGAGGTGGTTTTAAGGCCAGGAGTGAGGAGAGAGACCACTGGTGAAGGATGAAAACTATCACGATAGATCAGTTAACGGCACAAATAGAAACCTAAAGGTAATGGAAGGTACTTCCAAAATGACAAAAACAAACAAACAAACAAAAACCAGATACACTACTGTTCAAGAGTAAGGGTAAGACAAAGACAGCTTCAGAAAAGCAGAGCTGAGTTAATCTCCAAGGACACTAGCCAAAGGAATTAGAAAAACTTGTTCTTCAAGAAAAACCTCAGAAGGAAGAAATAGAAAAGAAAGATATCGATGGACATGTATTTAAATCAAATCCAGTGCTGACCATATAAAATGCAGCAATAACATGACTCGGGGAATTAATGGGGTGGACTAAAATACTGGACAGGAGTGCCTGTGAGATGGGAAAGGGCTAACAAAATTAAGTGTTCTGAAGTCCTTACATTTTTCCTGATTCACGTGAGTCTTAGCCAAGTCAGGAACAAAACAATAAATGTAGTGTAAAACTTTCAAGTCCACAGAGCAGTGGTTTTCAACCAGGGATGATTTTAACCCCAGAAGACATTTGACAATCTTTGGAGAAGTTTTTGGTACCATGATTAGGGGGCAGGTGCTACTAACACCTAGGGGGTAGAGCCCAGGAATGCTGCTAGACATCCTAAAATACACAGAATGGTCCCCCACAACAGAGAATGATCCAGCTACAAATGTCAATAGTGCTGAGGTAGAAAAACTTTGCAGATGGAGGGAAGAATAATAAAGAAAGCAAGATCAATCTAGAAGAAGCTGGTAAGGGGGAGAAAACAGCACAAAAAGAACAGGTTAAACAGAGAGCATAGGGCTGGCCAGTTAGCTCACTTGGTTAGAGCATGGTGCTGGTAACATCAAGGACAAGGGTTCAGATCCCCTTACCGGCCAGCCACTTAATAAATAAATAGCATAAAGCAGGATATCATCAATAATGATAAATGCAAATGACCTTGATGGGCCAGATAAAGATACTGTGTCAACTGTATTAAAAAATATGTTTGTAACAGAAACACCTAAAGTAAAAGGACACAGAAGATAAAAGCAAAAGGTTGGAACAGGAAGATGCTAACCAAAGGAAGGTTTTGTGGCTCTTTATTAATCAAAGATAAACTTCAAGTAATAACCACAGGGCAATATAACAGTAACAACATGTCTCAAAACAGAGTAAAGTCAGCCAGGATTGCAAGAAGAAATCAGCCAATCCAACCAAAGCAGGAGGTTTTAATGAACCTCCTTCAGAAATGGAAATTCAGAAAAACTGAATAGAGATAAGCAGGAAAGAATGTAATCAATCAGCCTGATCACATGGCTGGATGAAAAGCCATTGACTAATTAGAGCCAAAAGCTTTCTAAGCACAAGTGTAACATTTGCTAACAATGACCATAAACCAAGCCAAAGAACAAGTTCAAGGAAGGCTAGACTACAACATGACACAAACCACAGCCTGTTGACGACAATGTGGTCAAGCTGAAACCAGTAACAGGAAGAAAATCAAATACAATAAAACAATGAGCAAAACAAACCCATTTATTTGGAAAAATGAAAACCTGTTTCTCATAATTGACAGGTCAAAGAGAAAACTTGACAGAAATTAGAAAATATCTAGAACTGAACAACAATAAAAACAATACACCTCAAAACATATGGCAAATGAGCATGCAGCTAATATAGTTCCTAGACAGAAAACAGTCGTTAATGCTTATATTAAAAAAAGAAGAGTATAAATAGACTTCTTGAGGGTCTTGAAACACAGACTGTGACAAGTCAACAGCCCTGGTGGCCTCTGAGGCCATCTGCCGAACTAGGGCTGGGTCTAGAGCTCACAGACACCTCAAGCCCATTCACAGACTGGGTCACAAACCCTTAACATGCCAGGCTGGGTGCCCAAACCCCTCACACACCAGGCTGGGTCACCAGATCCCTCACACACAGGTCTATGAGCTAGGTAACCGGCAAAAAGGTCCTTGGAAGCCATAGGTCCGAGAGCATGACAGCACGAGGTGGATGCCCAAGGCAGTTAATGCCAGCCAAGGTAGTGGTGCCACGCATGCACACTAACTCCACCCCCTCACACACAATTTACTTACAAAGAAAGCACTGCACCACCCCCAACTGGGCCTAAGGCAATGGGTCCTGATTAAATGATCCTATTTTCCCAACACCATCTATGAATTTTCTTCAGGCCATCACCAATGGGTTGTACTGTTGAAGTAAATGGCAAAGCACATTCTGGGATGTGGATGAAGCACAGCTCCCCCAGAATGGCCTTGTTGGTTTCAGGAGTGGCACTTCAGAACAGTATGTACCTTACTCCACCACTAGAAACAAGATTCAGGAGTGGGCCTCACCTTCAACACCTTACAAGACAATGAAACACAATTTAAACATGTAAAGTACGTGGCTTTTTATGTAATTGCATTTTTACTGCTTACCATTAACTTAATTAAAATTATTTGATCAAAAAAAAAAAAAAGCAGACTGAAGGTTAGTGAGCTCACTGATCAACTTAAAACTTAAGGTAAAGAACCATGGACTAAACCTATTGGCAGAATGCAATAATAAAAATGAGAGCAAAAATTATCAAAACTGAAAACAAGGAAACAGCTGGGAACATAAAGAAAAGACTAATGAAATAGTCATATCTTTGACAAAAGTGACCATAAAAAAAGAGCAATTCCTAATCCCTGTCAAGTTTTCTCTTTGGCCTGTCAATTATTGAAATACAAATTGTGATATTAATTGTGAAATGGGATTTAACTGAGAAACAGTAGAAAGTTACCAAAATGGCAAAGTTAGATTTATCTGAGGAATGCAGACTATGGAACATTACAGCATCTATTGATGTAATTCCCCATATTATCAGATTAAAGTAGAAGACAGCTCCCTTACACCCTACTTCAATACATTCTGAAACTGCTATGAGGAAATCTCACCTGGACTCGTGATCAAAATACTCTCAGATTAAAGTAACAGACACTTTTACTCTATCTCAATAAATTCAGAAAGTATATGAAGGAAAGCTCAGACTCCTGATGAAAATTCTTAACTAGGAACACAGGGAATTAAGGTGAACATCACACCTAATGAGGAAACATCAGAATCACTCACTCTGAAGTAAAGGCCAAGACCTCAGACACTTGCTATGTCCACAGCATTCAACAGTGACCTGAAGGGGCCAGCTGGTCAATCCTGGACACTACAAAAAAAGGATGGATGATGGGCTCAGCTGTCAATCCTGGACACTACAAAAACTTCTCCCACTGACAGAGCCTCCTGAGGCTGCCCTGCCACCATGACAAGTGTTTCCTGTGCTGAATCTTCTGGGTAGACTGGGGCTTGGGATGGCCTGTGGTCATCCTGTTAAAATGATAGACTAGAGAGCACCTCCCTGCAGGTTTGGGGTTGAGGGGAAGATGCACCATGTAAGGTTAAAAGAAATGAGATAAAT